CTATCAGTTTAAAAGATTGGTGCCAGGCTACGGGCAACATGTATTCTTTTGTGTAGATTTTATATACCTGTCTCGTTTAAGATTTTTATCTAGACAGAATCGTAGATGTAATCTTGTACACTTTTGAAAATATTTGATTCACTATTAAACATCTTTTTGTAAGCAAATATATGGTTTTATGGATTTTATTACAAATATAAGTTATATTATTTTATATAGCTGTAGACTGCTTGTTGTATATAAGGTGAGGACTTCTTGTACACTGGGGATTGCTTTTGTTAAATTTATTTTACAGTAATAAAACAAAGCCATATCTGCTCGACGAAGCAAAATAGTCCTTGTGTTTAACATTTACACAAGGAACGAGTTTATGTATGTATGCCAGAGTTTAAGCCGCAAATATTATTTTCTATAGTTTAATTTATTATGGATTTACTTTTACCCAGCTCATCATAAAAGGTTTCTTTAACAGGAAGTGTTTATTTTACAAATTACTTCATGATGACACAATAGAATTTAAAAAAGAGCATGTTCATATTTGATTTTAAAATTGTTTTATCTAATTCAAAACTTAAAAAGACAACAATAACAAAAGTATTAAAACTTTAAATGAAAAAATGCAATTTGAGTCTTAGTTGTTGCTTTATTTCCGTAGGTCACTTACTTTGATAATTTACTACCGTAATTTGCATTTGTCTATCTGTGTGATCGTCAGCCTCTTTGTAAGTATATTTGTCTTTCAATTTATTTATTTGTGAAATGAAACCAAATACACCAAGAAATGGTGAGGACAAAGGTATTATACTGTACTGCTATAAAAAAGAGTTCATAAACAGCAAATTAAAGTCCTCTTTAAGCAGGTATACCGATCACTATTGCGCTTGCAAAATATGAAATGTATGCTGTTCGTAATGTAGAGTTTTAAAGATTAAAAATATCATAACCAGAAAAACGATATTCAAAAAAGATTAACTTTGCGAAGTATATCTGTAATAGTAAGCTGTCTTTTAATGCAATCAAGAGAACTGTTGGGTGTAAATTCGATTGCATATTTTGGTTGAAAATATAACGATTCAATTGATATAGTTCCTTTTTTTCGCCGAATACAATTGCAAGAGTAATCTTCATTTGTGCACATGTGTATTAAGTAAATAAGTCATGTGCGTATTAAACCACAATTATGGACTTAGGGATATGGATTATATCGATGAAAAGCTAAGCTAGATTGTCTGCTATTTTTTTAATTCATGGAATGCATCAGCTTAGACGAAACGCAGGGTTCCCATTTTTTATAGTTATCTGTAACACAACGTTTTGAAGAAAAAAATTGTAGAGACAATATACCACTGATTTCTTTCCTTGATTTATTATTAGATAAACTTAAACCAATCTGAGCGATGCTTCAACACAAATGTCTGACCTGTGGTCTGACTGATTTTAACTTCCGGCTATATCCTTTAAGCTAGGGTAAGGCCCGTCTGACATTTATATCCAGCTCTCAAACCGATTTACAACATTAAAAACCTCATAAGACAAGGTTTGCATAAACGTGTTTTCAGTTAATTGATTTTAAGTGTATTCGATGTTATTGTGGAAATAAAATAATTCTTTCTTTACATAACGGATTATATGTTAATTTCATCAATATATTGGAAATGTGCGGCCATGACGAAATATCAAAATCCGCGGAGTGCCACCGAGATCTGCGAAAAGTATATAGCACTGATTTTAATCCTGTCGATTAAGCACATGCATTTTTTTATTCTTATAGTTATGGTCTACTGACCTCGCATTGAAAAGAGCCAAATTCGTTTCAAACAACAATATGCAATAATCAGTGCAATAATCAAAGTGCACTTGATTTTAACCATATCTGAGCTGACATGACGTTTGACCCTATGTCAATGTGACGGAAAGAAATACGATGGCGATTCTTTACAATTGCAAAATAAAATATACTACCAAAATACACCTTTATGTACTTATTTATATTTTCTTCAAACTATTTGGCATGTACTAGATAGTCCTGGATATTGCTTTGTATTATTTGTTTATTTCAGTCCGTTTGGCATCCATATGGTCTTTAAGATAACCATATTTCCAAGCCTTCATCATTATTTATTGAAGACTCCTTATTTGTGAGCTACATTGTTCACTAAAAGCTTTTCATTCAAAGTATCATATTTCAAACAAGGTGCTATTTGCAATGCAATTGCAAGCAAATAAAGCTGTATGTGAATTATAACGACTTTTATGAGCAGTGAGTATTGGACGCGCTCAGCGATTGTCGGAAGACGTGAAAGACAGCTTGTACATCTGTTTCAAATGGAACATTTGAAGAAATATTCACGACATCCCCCCCTATCTACCAGAAAAGAAGACACATTTTGAGGGTAACCAAGAAGGTAATAGTTCGCTCTTTTAATAGAGTATAATCAGCTGAACATTTCCATCAACAGCATTGACAGATTTGTGCATCGTATTTTGTATTCAATGTATTTCTGACAATAAAACCCAAGACTTGGTCATTAACGAGTTTCATAAGCTTATCTTATTACACAAAATGTATCTTCCTTTGAAATAGTGATCCGATTAATTTGGGAAAGGGAGGGGGGCAGCTATTGCTGTTGAACATCTCTGGCTTGACAGGTTTTGGTCCTGTCATCATTCTATTTTGCTATCTCTTTTCAACATACTACTGATTAACTCCCACTTTGCCTAACTCTGTTGTAGTTGGCATTATAATTTTGATTTACATGTCTAGACACTTAATAACCCCAACCCCATCTCTAATTGATACTGTAAATATCATAAATATCATAACAAATCCTGTAAATAAATAACCGCAACCCCAACCCGTAAATATCATAAACACCGATGAAGGCAATAGATTGCTGCCGAAGGACGAATGCCAAAAAAGCTACCATTCAGCTGGCAGAATAACTGTTGATTTTGGTGTTTGGAAGTTGAAATAAATTCATTGAAAATACTTTTTTGAAAATTACATACATAAACATAGCACAAATCAAACTTTCTGTTTGCATGTATAGCGGTGATGTGTAAGATGAGATTGCTTCAAATATTCATGTTAAAAATGGCAAAATTTGGTCGCGTATAGAAGAAACTGCCGAATTTCCCAACGTCTAGGTAAAGTGGGCAGAATCCTGTCCGCTAGTGACATCATTGAGAAGTATCTTTTGAAACGAGCAAAGGAGTCAAAACATACATAAACATATACAACTAAATTCGAAAACAGGTGAGACTATTTCACCTGTAATCATATTGTGGTGCTAAATCAAATAGAGCTATGTCGACATTAGAATAGTAGTTATATTTTTGACACTTTACAACTCCTATTACGTATTTTCCCATAATAGCATAAAGATCAATTAGGGTCAATACTTCTAATACCTCACCCTATTTAATCTTTTGTTTTGTAATTTTGTCATGGAAAACATTTTAGGAATTAAAATACTCCAAATTTAGGCTTTGATAATGGAAGCAAGACGTTTTATCAGATATATGAAAAATTATATTACTTGTTTAGGAATATAATGCTTTAGACATTAGTAAACGTCAAGCAATACAAATAAATCCCGGTAGAGGTTATGTTTCATGAACAAAGTTAAACTAATAATAGCATAATTAGGTGATGTTGGTTTAAATGGTACAAATGTGGATTTTTGCACAAGATTGTTTCCAAATATAAAGGATGTTTTTCGATGGAACACAATATACATGTACAACAGAGTACACATGTACATGTTCAAGAAGATCACTCAGGTATTTTGTACCACGATAGCCACTACTACCCTAATTCACCCCATACGACTGGAGTCACTCTCTTCAATAGGAACTGTGTCTGCAATGTCAGCCTGTTTATCTCTTGACACGGTATACCATACTCCCGCAAGCGATTGCGTCAGACGCTCTAAGAACTGACACTCAAATCGAGGCGCTCTTCGCCAGTCATCTTCTGCAACAAAATACTCTTCAGTGAAAGGAGATTGAAACAACCGGCCATTTTGCTGTCATCCTCTGCAACAAAATCCTCTTCAGGTAAATGAGATTCAAACAATCGGCAATTTTTTCAAGTTCATAACATCACAAAATACCAATGGTAAGAAATTACACATTTAAATCTAACGATTTCTTTCATTTTTACAGTGAAAGCCTAAGATTATTACCTGATCAGTCGTAAGATTTATATGATGTAATTGTATTATAATAGCATGTTAGCCCTTTAGTTAATGCCATTAATAATGGTCGTGCAAAATATGATGCAGATTTTATATGAAACGGAAGAAGAAGATGATGATGATGGTCATTCTTTTTTTGCTTTTTGTAACGCTAGAAAACTGCAGCAGCCATAGGCCAAACAATGCCTATGGCATGGTCCTGTGTTCATAGTTCTTCGTCCGTCTATGAGCAAAGTATTTTTTAAAAAAATTCTATTATTACTTGCAGATTGCCACAAAACTCGTCGTACGTACTATTACCACATTACTACTTAGGAAACATTCCAGAAAAGAAAAAGAAAAAGTTTCATTGTACTTACTTTTTCAACTTTTATCATACTGCAACATTAATCAACGTATGTAGTCCGAGTTTCCTTTGACCCTTGCCACCCTATTTATGATGCTTGAACATTTATGTTGGGGTGTAGGTTGCCAAATTAATTTACTATCATTTAAGCATGTCAGAGCAGCACCTATCCTGAAAGGATAGTGTGTGTGTGTGTATGTGTGTGTGTGTGTGTGTGTGATTTGAATTTTTTTTTAAAGATTGCTTTAAAAACATTTCAGTCATAACACTACAATATCCACATTGTGACAGTTTATAGTGATAACTAGCACTGGGTCATAATGCCGCAGACATGTATTATGATGACCCATCCAGTCAAATTATCCCGACACCAGGCCGACCAACCCTAACACTAACTCTTCATGCTGAGCGCCTAGTGAGGCAGCTGTTAGTACCATTTTAATAGGTCTTTGGTATGACTCAGCCAGGGTTTTAACCTGTGATCTCCTGCATCAAAGACGGATGCTCTAACTACCAGGCCACTGTAGCCGTCACGGTTTAAATTGATGTAATCATGAAACATGGACAATGCCTGCAGCAGGAAGAAATATGGCAAAGACACTGGTTGATTGAAAACCTTGCTATCAGTTAAGATTATCAGATTCAACACTCAGCAGGTAGAAACAAGAAGGTCTTTATCTTGAATTCATGGAAATTCTTTTGGTCCAGGAGTGTCAGCTCCTTGGAAGGACTCTTTCATTGTTGTTTTTTTTTTTGTTGTTCCTGCGGCTGCTTTTAAATAGAAATCCAGTTTTCCATTAGTCTGAGGTTTTATCTATTGGAAGCAGCAGTGGGAAAAGAGGTGGGTTGAAGCTGTGTACTGGGTAATTTGAATGTAGACTTTATAACTTTCAATGAAGTACATTAGTTATACCTTATAACTTTATATGTTGTATATTGTCTGTTTATTAGTGCATACAAGCTTATTAATAAATTAAACTAGTTTTGAAAAAGAAATACATGTCAGGCATAATTCCATAGATATTATGAATGTTCTATTTATTGTACACCAAAGCAGTTTTTCCACTTTATAATAGATCATGTTGTCATGCAAACCTTTATACTGTTACATCTCAAAGAATCTGTGTTCCTGTGTGGAAAATATGAAATACTTGATGACCTGGAACAACAAGCTTTACCAAAATTTGTATTTTTCTTTTGTATTTGGCAAACATACCCAGATTCATAAACAAATGGAGTCACAATTGTTGTGAAAGTTCTAATATATGTTCCAGAAGTAAGTTCTTAAATGTTCAATAAAAATTCAAAATGACATGCTCTGTGTCTCCACTATGCATGTAGAAGTTTGGCATTTGTTATGTTCTAATTATTATTCTTAACCCACATTCTCTATTATTTTTAACATTATTACTTTTATTATATTTTCATTTGTTGATGTTATTATTCAACAGAGTTCAGAGAGAACAGCAATTTTAACAGAACAGCTTGTCATCCTTGAATCCCTATGGCATAGGGGAATAACAAGCAAGGGCAAAAAATGTAGCCTTTTGATATTGAAGGCAGTCAGAATCTGGATTGAATGAAAAGGTGGTGAAGGTAAGATTATTTTTTTTTATTATTGTGGTGATAGTTCATTATAACAAAGTAGTTATTACATATGTTCCAGAATTTAACATTTAGAATTTTCAATTAATAGTGTTGTTGATGTTTATATTTCTTATAAATTAATGAGTATCACTTGCATTATTTTATCACTGTTACTTCAAACCTTAAAAATTGAATTGAAAATGAAAGTGCCTCATACAACCATGTTGATTAATAATATCAATCTCAATGTTCTTATAGGTGGTCATAAGGCATTCATATGCTGTAAAGTGTATAAACATTTTAGATTGTTTGCTTAATATAATTCAGTCATTTAACATCACATGATTACCTCATTTAACTCGATGTAAAGCTTTTTTTTGTAAAGAAAAGAGTGTTTTTTGTTTTTTGGTTTAACAGCAAATACTTCAGAATTTGATAGACTGTATATAGTGGCTAGTCTATTTGGTGGAGGAAGAACCTACGACACATGGGATGATAGTGACAAGATTTCTCACATGTCCATTTTGACTGTTGCATAAATCAAACTCTACATGACATTTGTGAGGTATTAATGATCTTAGACCAATCAGCAACCCAGGACCCCCTATAAGGAACATTAATTGTCACTTTTCTCAATTTGATCAATGCATAGAATATACTTTTATCAAAACTTGTTAAAAGAAACAAATGGTTATTGTTACTTGTAAAATAAATGTTATCATTCCCATAGTTAGCAAAATTAAGTCAGGTATCTGGTTGATAACTAAGTACTTAAGTTTTGTAATTGCCAATATATAATTTCATAAGCTTTCTCTCTGGAATGCATAATCATACAAATCAAAATATTTTATATTCAGGACTGGATTGGAAACACTTCTAGGAAGAAGAATAACAGACATTACTCTTGCTCAAAAGGTTTCTATAGCAAAGGTGTCTCTTGATATAACTTGTTTGCTAAAAAAAACAAAGGTACAGTTGTGTTTCTTTCTTTGCCTTGTTAATTGTCAACACTTTAATGCTTAAAATGAAATTGCTCTGCGTAAATTTTATTCATTTAAAAAAAATGTATGCATTTTCGGTTGATAGGTTTGTATAAAACATAACTGAAGCTCTGATTAAATTTTAAGCATGTTAGTAAGGGGATAGTATAAAAAGTTTTGATATTTTTCATCAACATCAATCAAATGAAATGTGTTCACTGTATTCTGACAAAAAAGGTTTAATTCACACTTGGTGAAACAAAACAGACATTTTAGCTAAAAGTGAAAAATATTGTGACACATGTAACATCAGTCAACACCAGGGGTCATGCTAGCAGTCAAAGTCAGTGACATAGTCACCTAAAATATGTAAACTCCAACTTCTGCTAGGAAGGCAAAAAGGACTTTGCCCTGTGAATTTTTTGTAGATACATTGACCAACCATATCTTTCTGAGATGCCCCCTCACCTTAGGGAGATTAGTTCCAGGGTTGTGTTGTAGGTATTAAGCTGTCGGAAGCTAGGCCTAGTTTTGTTGTCAATTACATTGACAAACAAACTCTGGCACCTTCATGGGCAAGTGTTTTGATAGCTGATTGGTCATTAACTCTTTCCTAGTCCTTTAGCAACTATCACAGCCAGATTACTGCATGTTATCCTTAATGATAAAGACCTACAAAAACTTGTGTTTTGAAACTTAAAAAATTGTATGTATATAACACTTTTGTGTTTTAGGAACAAAATTAGTGATCTGGATATTTTAACTGCCTCTGGTACACTGTTTCATCATAAAATGAGTTTGAAACTGTAAGTGAACCAGTAATGGGGAAATAAATCACTGTGTGTAGAAGTCCCAGTTCAAAGTTTATTTGATTGTTTATTTTAGTAAATTGTTGTGCAAATATATTTAGAAATCAATACAATTCATAGATAGCAAAGCCTAGTTATTATGTTATTTGAGATTTAACTTGAAAATTATTTAGGTCAGAAATGTATATGACAATGCTATCTTGTGGAATTCCTGAGAAGCCCTGTATGGTCAAAGTTGTTTTCTAACTTGACTCTTATGTGAATATGCAGAAAAAAGAAGTGCAGCATTTTTTATCCAGCCAATGCCTAAAATTACAGCAAGTATATAGACAAAAAAAAATTTGCAGTCCTATCAATTTACTGTTGAAATGAAGCTGTATGAAGTGAGTGGTAACATGAAAATCCTTCCTTCCGTAAAGAGATGCACTCACATGTCTGTGTTGATTCAGCTGGAAAGAAGGGTGTACTTCATATATCGGCTATAAAGGAGCAATGTCTGTATTTTAATGCATTTTAGTGTTAAGTATCAATAGTTACACAAATGTTTCATTTGCAACAAAGAAAGTAGGGTGAACAGTATGATCTGAATATAGCCCTGATGTACATGGTACAAGGGTTGTTCCAAACGACTTCAGAAATCTTTCAAAGTATCATTATTGTGAACTTTTATAAAGTATATAGAAAGTTCACGGCCAAATTTCTCAAATACTCAATTTTGCCTAAAAAAGCCTCAGACCCAAGCAGATATATATGAAATGTCATCAAGTCAGTGATATGTAAAGGCAGGCCTGTTAGACCACATACCCCCTCCATGTGTACTCAAGTTGAAGATAAATTATTAATGTAAATATAACAAGATATAATCTGGGTCATAAGAACTCAAGCATTGCAATGGTTCATGTAAGATGATGCTTCATACATGCATTTTCTATGGCTATGCATGCCCTGGCACACCTTGCCAACTGGCTGATGCAACATTGTTCAACCCATCACACATTCAGTTTATATGAAACAGATAGATTTGTTTTTTTTAAAAAAATTTATAGATTCACAGCTTCCTTCCAATTTTCCATGCTGAAAGTGTTTTGGAACACATTATCATAAATGTAAATGATTTGACTATGAAACAATTTTTTATTTGATTTTACTGTGTACAATTATTGTGGCCAGGTAATGAATTTGTCATAAAATATAATGGATACAGCAAAATATCTCAGTGTATAGTGCTATTTCCTTTTGTGTAAAATATCCAGCTTCAGTATTTTTTAAAATAGAAAATACAGTGATATTTTTTTCCCCAAAAAGCATTGTCTGTGTTAAACATTCTTGAAAATTCACCTTTTCTGGAAAATATGTCATTACTTTAAGTCATGGCTGACACTCGCTTCCTCTCACTATTTGTGATAAATCTTTTTTGACCTTTTGCAAAGAATAACATTTGTGAACTGTTTTCTAGGGTGTTATCAATAATATGTCTAATTCACTACTTCTCTTCTCACCTTTCAGTATGGATACAGCTGTACACACAGACAGTGAATATTCAGGAATGATCCAAGAACCTACAAACAGTCTTGGTTTGACTGAATTTCAAAACATTGCTGTCTCACATACCATTTTACCAGCACTGAACAACATCTCACCAACCACTGACAACTTTATACAGACAGCTCTTATTGAAATTCCACCAGTCTCACATACCAATTTACCAGGCCAAAACATTTCATCAACCACACACAACCTTGTACAGTCAGCACCCATTGAATTTCCACCAGTAACACATACCATATCACCACCAGTGCAAACCATTCACAGTTCACTTCACTAGCACCACAGTGCATACAGGAATCTACCAGTACACAAGGAACATATATAGAAACCATCAAAAGACTTGCAGATAAGCAAGTTGAACAGACAGAAAGCCATTCACAATGCAGAGAATCAAAAGCAAATCCTGGTCCTCCTGATGTGTGTTTGAAAAGGAAATTGGAGCATACAGATTTGGGTAAGGCTGGAATTAATACTTTCTCCAGATTATTCCAGAGTATTATGCTTTAACTAAATCTGCCTTATTATTAATAACATCAGTGATAAGGGTATTCAAGTCATGAATATTGATCATGTTTCCCCTAATACTGTCAGGTTAAATTTAATAT